TGAAAAGACTAATGCACCTTAGGAAACAGCCATGGAATATAGTGCATAAGATCAGAACCCTTGAGAAAGAACACTGGACTCATTTTTAATAACAAGCCATTGTTCCAAAATGACAGGTGACCTCTTGCTCATCAATTTTTAAAAAATTAATTATATAAACATACAAATAAGAAGCATCCTCAGGAAAGGGTGGGTGGCATTAGGAAGGTTGAGAACCACTGGATATGCATATATGCATAACCCAAGGACACAGACAATAGGGTGGTGAAAACCTGCGGGGCGAGGGGGGGGGGCGGCACGCTAGAAGAGGTCAACGGGTGGAAAAAGGAGACATATGTAATACTTTAAACAATAAAGATTTTTCATTTCTTTTTTTTTGTTGTTAAAAAAAGGAAGCATCTTGCAAATGAGTGCAAACTAATTACAGTTCTGTGGAAATTTTATATCTAAATCTTTAAGGTAGTTCGAAAATATATACTAAGTAATTTAGCCAGTAAAGATAGTGTAGAGTGAATACATTTTTAAGTGCATTTCGTTGGAGAAAAAGAAAAGTTATCTTTTAGTGACATATGCAGAAGTTTGGAGATACTAGTGTGATTGTAAAGATCTGTGTTAGTGATCAGTGGTGATGATAATGACCATGATTGGACAATAATATTAGGACTAGAGAGAAATCTCATTCATTCTACAGGAGTAGAAAATCTAGGCCAAGGAAATTAGCAAATATTAGTTGGGGTAGTTGCTACCTTGAAATACCCTCTTAGACGTTTGGATTTTACTTTAGAAACTGTGAAGGGGGAGAATAGAGTGTCTGAGCTGGTTATGAGGAAGATGATTTGTTCCGTCTGGTTCTATATAAAAATGTATCTATATAAAGAGAGATTTACTATGGCATGAGGGTTCCTGGGAAGGCTAAGCTGAAGATCTAGTTAGGGGTAAGTGAGTTTGAAACAAGGTCATAAAAGTGGAAAGTTAAGAAACTGGAAATTGCAAAGCAAAATTTAGGTTAGAGAGAAAAAAAGTAGAGAAACACCAAAATTGTGGTTCTAGGGAAATAAATATGACCTGTTTTTACATCAATTCCAAGATCATCATAAAAAAGTCATTACACGAAAGAAGGTCAAACTGTTTCAAGACCACATTTTTTTATGAAAAATAAATAAATATAGTGAACATAAGGAAACCAGGTTTGTTATTCTTTTGTAACACTAAGAGAATCAAACTTTAAAATATCTTTAGTAAAACTTAAAAAATATCAACTGAGAGATAACGTCATTACAAGGAATTGATACAAATATAAGGAAAATTCCTATATATTCAGAAATGGATTTAAAGCAAACTTGCAAGAAATAAGCACCAAAAGAATTAACATCCTTTACATAGTAGCTTAAATTTCTCTTCATATGGGCAGGAGACATTCTATATTTGAACAGGAAAATTTTATTTATAAAGGGTTTTTTCATCCAAGAATCTTAAATGTACTATTGCAATTGGCTTCAAAAATTGACTCCATAAATTGCCTAATATAGTTTAAAGATGGGAAATTTGAAACTGTAGGACTTTACTTTTATAAGAAACTTTCCCTATTCCAGAGGGATAAAAGGAAGGGGGGCAGAAATAAATGAAAATGGGAATGTGTAAAAGAAATTCAAATAAATCCATAATCAATTTAAAATTTAAGAAAAAAATAAATTGTAAGTCTCTTAGCAATTTAATATCACTTACTTCTATTTTAGTTTTTCCTAAGGAAATACTCTTTATTAAATCAATTGAGAAATTCTTTTGGCAGGTGGGGGAAAAAACAAAAGCTCACCTTCTTATTTATTCCTTTTAAGTAAATAATAGAGCTTTATTGACTATGTTTTCAAGAAAAATATTAAATAAATTATCTGCATATTGTATCAATAGAGTCAAAATGGCTTGGAAAATGTATATAAAAATAAAAATAATATAAAAATTAGTGTAGTGTTTTGAAGTTTTTGTGAAGTGAAAGGCTTGGCTTCTTTAAATAAATTAGATGACTTTAGAAAGTGGGAAATATGCATTTTCAAGATGAATATTTTAGTAATACAAAAGTTAAAGCTGTAATATATATTAATATTGTAAAGATTTATGTATCTCTAAAAATCTTATTCTTATTTCTACTGGGTACAGAAAGAGTCTCAAATAGAGATTTCATGTACTCCTTTTAAAAGTTTTAAAAATAAAAATCCAATAGTTAAGCATTTAGGGAGTAATAACAATGACTATATTTAGATGTAAGGTAATGATTTAAATTATGGGGGGATGGATTGTGCCATTTTAGGAAGTCTCTTCATATAATATGTGTCAAACAGATAAAATGTAAATGATTATGTCTTTTAATTCAATGGTTACAGCTTATTTATAAAGTAGTACTCATTAAAAATAGAAATGCGGCCCTAGCTGGTTTGACTCAGTGGATAGAGCATCGGCCTGTGGACTGAAGGGTGTAGGGTTCAATTCCGGTCAAGGGCACATGCCCGGGTTGCAGGCTCGATCTCCAGTAGGGGGCGTACAGGAGGCAACTAGTCAATGATTCTCTCTCATCATTGATGTTTCTCTCTCTCTCCCTCTCCCTTCCTCTCTGAAATCAATAAAAATATATTTTTAAAAAATAGAAATGCATCTTTAACATAAAAAAAGAATATCAGCCAATTAAAAATTTCACTTAATGGTAAAATAACAGAAGTCATCTTATTAAACTTTTAATTTTGCACTTGTATCCTATATAATAAAGAGGTAATATGCTAATTGACTGTCATGCCCTCACAAAGATGGTGGCGCCCACAGCCACAAAATAGTGGCACCCAGTCCTCTCAGCCCTGCTAGGGGGTGGCAGGCACGTGGCACGGCTGGGCCCCCCTCCAGGCAGGCCCGGCCGTGCCCCACACCTGCCGCCAGAGTATCCCAATCCCTCAGCCCCGGCAGTGAATTTTTATGCGACCATTACCTTTTTAAAAACCCTTACCCAAGGATATGATTATTTAAGATCATCTGTTCTCGGGAGCAGGCCTAAGCCAGCAGGTGGGCATCCCCCAAGGGTCTCAAACTGTGAGAGGGCTCAACCTGGGCTGAGGGACCCTCTGTGTGCATGAATTTTCATGCACCAGGCCTCTAGTAATTAAATAAATAGCCAAACTATAATACCTGCTATATAATATTCTAGTGATTAGTACCATTTTAATACTATGTGAAAAACTTTTTGAATACTTACTTTTTAGAAGTAAAAGCACAGAATGTTTTTGGGGGAGGCAATACCAATAACAATTAAAAGTAAAGCATATTCCACAATGCCAGAATTTTTAATAAATAAATAGGATCAATAGATCCAATTATTTATAAATGACTAAAAATTGTTCACTTAATAAACACAAATTGATAACACACTGACTAAACGATGGAGCAATTTTTAAAAAATGGGGTGGGGACAACAGACAAACTAGACATCTTGATTAGTCTCAGGTGTACAGTATTGTGGTTAGACATTTATATAACTTACAAGATGATTCCCCTCGGTAAGTCTAGTACCCACCTAGCACCATATATATAAATTACAATGTTACAGACTGTATCCCCTTTACTGTACCGTATAGCCCCATGACTATTTTGTACCTATCAATTTGTGCTTCTTAATTCCTTCACTCTTTTCACCCAGTCCACTATTCTCCCTCCCATCTGGCCATCAGTTTGTTCTCTGTATCTATAAGTTTTGACTGTTATTTTGTTTTTTAGATTCCACATATAGATGAAATTGTATGGTATTTATCTTTCTTTGTTTGACTTATTTCACTTAGCATAATATCCTCTAGGTCAGCCGTGGGCAAACTACGGCCCGCGGGCCGGATCCAGCCCGTTTGAAATTAATAAAACTACTGAAAAAAAAGACCGTACCCTTTTATATAATGAGGTTTACTTTGAATTTATATTAGTTCACACAAACACTCCATCCATGCTTTTGTTCCGGCCCTCCGGTCCAGTTTAAGAAACCATTGTGGCCCTCGAGTCAAAAAGTTTGCCCGCCCCTGCTCTAAGACAGAACCTGGCTACAGAACCTGGATAGAACATGGCAAGAGAACCTGACTAGAACCTGGTGACTGAACCTGGCTGGATAACTTAGTGAGAGTACATGGCTACAGAACCTGGCTGGAGAACCTGGAGAACCTGGCTGGAGAACCTAGCAAGAAAACATGGACACAGAACCCCTGGACAGACTGGCTGGAGATCGTGGCTAGAGATCCTGGGTAGGCTGCTGATCAACTGAACGCTGTCTTCGTGTCATTCCTTCTTCAATGACTCCGTCCACACCTTTGGGAACCCCTGGACCTGCTGGGGTTGGACCCCAACAATTGGCGCCCGAACAGGGACATGAACCCTGGACCTCTAAAGCCCTGGCTGGAGGAAGCAGTAATGAGCACAGATCAGGGAGAAGCTTGCCTGGAGGAAGTGACTAAGGCTGCTTTGGCCACCCACTATGCCCCATGGGGTGGGCACCCTCAGTGGGAGCCTGGAGACAGCGGGAGAGCTGTGGAGGATGGCGGGTCAGCCTGCCCTGACCCAGAGGCCAACAGTTCTCTTCCTGAAGCCTGGGAACTTTCAGATGATGATAAAGGATATGGTGGGGAAGAAGCAACCAGCATCCCTAAAGACCACCCCTGCTCTAGGTCATCCAATTTGCTCCAAATGGTAAGATTTCATTCTATATCATTTATAGGTTGCTTCCATATCTTGGCTATTGTATATGAAATGTCTTTTTTGTGTGTCTCTTTTTATAGTCTTTGTTTTAAAGTTTATTATGTCTGGACAGAACCTGGCTGGAGAACCTGGACAGAATCTGGCTGGAGATCCTGGCTAGAGATCCTGGGTAGGCTGCTGATCAACTGAACGCTGTCTTCGTGTCATTCCTTCTTCACAGACTCCATCCACACCTATGGGGAACCCCTGGACCTGCTGGGGTTGGACACCAGAATTTGAACCCCTGGACCTCTAAAGCCCTGGCTGGAGGAAGCAGTAATGAGCACAGATCAGGGAGAAGCTTGCCTGGAGGAAGTGACTAAGGCTGCTTTGGCCACCCACTATGCCCCATGGGGTGGGCACCCTCAGTGGGAGCCTGGAGACAGTGGAAGAGCTGTGGAGGATGGCGGGTCGGCCTGCCCTGACCCAGAGGCCAACAGTTCTCTTCCTGAAGCCTGGGAACTTTCAGATGATGATAAAGAATATGGTGGGGAAGAAGCAACCAGCATCCCTAAAGAGCAAGGAAGTGACTATATAGGTGGCCAGCCTGCTCCCATGTCCCTCAGCCTTCTGAGAACCCTGCAAGACCCTCCTGGGGAAGAGGAAACTGAGGAAGGAGGACACTCCATCCATGCTTTTGTCCCGGCCCTCCGGTCCAGTTTAAGAAACCATTGTGGCCCTCGAGTCAAAAAGTTTGCCCACCCCTGCTCTAGGTCATCCAATTTGCTCCAAATGGTAAGATTTCATTCTATATCATTTATAGGTTGCTTCCATATCTTGGCTATTGTATATGAAATGTCTTTTTTGTGTGTCTCTTTTTATAGTCTTTGTTTTAAAGTTTATTATGTCTGGACAGAACCTGGCTGGAGAACCTGGACAGAAACATGGCTACAGAACCTGGCTGGAGAACCTAGCAAGAGAACATGGACACAGAACCTGGCGGGAGATCCTGACCAGAACTTGGCTAGA